ACCTTGGTTTTAATTTTGTTAAGAATTTTGTACCACTAACTTCTTATGCATTTTATGTGCAGGATGAGGTTGTTGCAGGATTGACTATTGTGGTACTAGTCATGTTTGCAAGGACAACAAATGGTTACGATGTACGAACCAGTGCAAGATGGATCCGTGCTAAATATGGGCAACGAATCAACTGTTCCTATCCTTGGATATGGAAATGTCGTTTGAAATATATGGAAAACAATTACTCTGGTCTTATTGGTGTTTTCTTTGTAGCAGCAATTAGAAAGAATTTGGTTTCCGGTAATGTGTTGAATCAATGTAATTACAAACAAGTGCTTGAATCCGACAAGTTTATCTTGTAAGGAATTGAAACATCTTCCATTCTCCTCTTGGTGTCCCAGCCAGGTATCCCAAGGGTTGTCCGATCACAAAGACAACACTACTACTCATCTCGACTAATGGAGGAACGCATTACCTGAGAAATGATACAAGATTGCTTCAAAATTTTCCAAGTGTTATCTCTGAAGACTTGCTTCGGATATCTGGAATCCCAGAATTTAGAGTCCGAAAATGTCTAAGTGGTAAATCTGAAGAGGTGTCTCCAAAATTCTGAAGTTCAGATTTCAGAATTCAGATGAATAGCAAAACCAACCAAGTCATAAGTCTGAAGAGTTGTATTTCAGAGTTAGAAGATTAACTTTGAATGATCATCTCAAAAACAAATACTTCTATGATAGTAGAGCACGTGTAAATGTGTAATTAGCTTGTCATGTAAATCATGTAATTGTATCTTTCCCGTTGTAGTATAAATAGGAGTTGGTTAGATTGTGTAAATATATTCGATATTTCAATTATATAGATTTCTCTCATCATATTCAATTGTAAACAATCTTTGATTTTCAATATACATGATGATTGCCTTGATCAAATACTTTTCTTGTTAACATTATTCTGTGTTCTTACATTCTTGACTAAGATTCTTATTAGGGGACTTGCAAAAACTTCATAGTCTATCAAAGTCTAAGTGTTCTTGCTTTCTTTGCTCAACTTCAGTATCCTTCAAATGATTCCATGGCTCAATCTTGCTCAAACGTTCAAATATCTCTTCACACTTCAAAAACTTGTTTCAAATCATCATCGTCCGTTTTGAAAATGAAGTTAACCAAGGATCTTTCATGGTTGGAAACATTGAAGTTCCTCCCAATCAAGAGGATTTGGCTGCTAATGTTCTTTTGCCACAGAACCTAGAAGTCAATATTGGGGGAAATCCAAATGAACCATATGGCTCGTCTAGAGGAACTCAGAGCCTACATTAGGTATGATAACAAGGTACTTATAGATTATTGTGCTTCTATGGGACTACCAAAACCGGTAGATTATAGAATATTGTGCTTCCATGGGACTACCAAAACCGGTAGACTCTGCCCAAGAAGCAACTCCTACTAGGATGAGAGGTGAGGTGTCTCGTAGTATAAGAGTGCTGAGAAGAAAAATGAAAAGGAGAGGGAGTGTAGTGGAGATAAAATTTCAAGAGAGGATATGAGCACAAGATCAAAAGAGAAAGAGGATCTTGCACTATCCACTTCAAGCCGGACAGCCACATCTCTCTCTCCACAATCTTGCTATAACCCCACCTACCCACTCATATTCTAAAAAAGGTGGTGTTTCACTAACACAATTGGGGCAAGCAGCTCATAAACCATTAAGTCCTCATTTGGAGGATGTTAATGTTGAAAAAGAGGAAGATAGGTTCCCTCCTCATATTTCTTCAATGCACAAAGTCAAAGAGTCCATCTCATTTTGAGCCTACTAAAGGACAAGCAACTGYTATTTGAAGAATTTATGGAGCTGTCAATAATTGCATCAAAGATCTCGGCGATCCTGTCAATTAAGGGTGTTACCCCTGATTTCCAGCATTCTGTTTTTAGGGATTTTCTCTATCATCTCCTTAGTTGAAAGGATTCTCCTTCTTTTGTATAAATAGCCTTGCTTTGAGTTTTATAATTAATAGGAAAATATATGAAAAGCCTTTTAGGCTCAACTCTRTTTGGTTTCTAGATGGTATGAGAGTGTGGTTTCTGATCATCACCTTTCATGGRAAACCTTTCCTTTAACTTCGGTAGATACCAACCAGACCAACCAATGCTTAGCGAGTCCACCAGCTCCACCCATGACCAAAACAAATCCAACAACCCTCCTCCACAGGTTCAACGGTTGCTCCAGATATCTTTCCCATCACTGGTCACAACATTCRTGAAGTGTTCTCTAAGGTTCGAAAGCAGAAGAAAGGTAATGCTTGGAAGCACTACTACCTACCCGGTTGGAGAAGGGCCTGCCCTAGTTGCTCGATACCCACCACCTAGTGGGAAACTTCAACAAGGTAATTCCCAGAAAAGGTCAGGATGGCCATGGTGCAACCACTGCAAACGGATTTAAGAGAGAATACGAAGGTTTTATGAACAAGATTGGTAAGCTGAGAAGAGATGTGTATTCAGACTTATACATTACAAGATTTGTGGATGTARAGCAAAAAGTGTGGAGAGAAGTATAGTCTACTACAGCTTTGAGGTTGAAAGAGAAGATGGAAAGATGTATGATTTCTCTGAAGCTAATTTTCCAAACTTGCATCTTCAAGACATGTTTCAAATCTACACCAAGTTAGCACCTTATGAAGATAAAGTTGCAAAGTTCAGAAAAGGGTTAATAGCAATCATTCATGGAATTATTAGGGCAACCCTTTGGGTTGGAATGGTAGATTCTCAAATTTCTCGTCTTGGAAAGAGAAAATGTGTACTTGTTAGCTCCTGTTACTCATCTAGATGSAATAGAAGATCTACACACAAGAAYTGTCATTTGTGATCCARCTRGGTATATCTGCAAGAACTCTCCAGAAAAATTCCTCTTCARAATTCATGATGTGCAAAAATACAGTTCTGGAACCTTGAAGYAGATCCATGAATCTCTTGAGAAAAGACTATGTAAAAGACCAAAGATTGTCAGCAAACGRGAATGGCCCAAAGTGAAGAAGTTGGTGATCTGGATGAGACAACACATAAAAGGTCAACTGAATTACAGAAACATCATTCTAGAGAAGTTCATCTGAATGTTGATTGATWGAAAATTTGAAATTTGAAGCAAAGGGGGAAGATTGTAAAAATGAAAGAAGATTGCTTCAAAATTCTCCAAGTATTATCTCTGAAGACTTGCCTTCAGAGATCTGGAATCCCAGAATTCAGAGTTCGGAAGATGAATTAAAATGTCTAAGTGCTAAATCTGAAAAGTTCTCTCCARAATTCTGAAGTTCAGATTTCCGAGTTCAAATGAAGAGCGAAACCGACCAAGTCATAAGTCTGAAGAGTTGTATTTCAGAGTTAGAAGATTAACTCTGAATGATCAATTCAGAGTTAGAGATAGAAGATTTTCAGATCAAAGGCTTCTCAGAAACGAAGACTTCTTCTATGATGCTAGAACATGTGGCAATATGTAATTAGCTTGTCATATAAATCATGTAACTGTTCTTTCCTGTTCTAGTATAAATAGGAGTTAGTTTGTGTAAATATATTCAATACTTCAATTGTATAGATTTCTCTCATCAGATTCAATTGTAAACAATCTTTGATATTCAATATACATGATGACTGCCTTGATCCAATACTTCTCTTGTTAATATTATTCTGTGTTTTTACAGTCTTGACTATGATTCATACCATGGGACTTACAATACCTCCTTCGAAAAAGAATTTCTTTAGTTATGGCCTAGAATGGCATTTACCTCCTCTATCTTTGTTGTTCTAACTTAGCGTTTGTGTATTTATTCATTTGCTTTCTGTGTTGAGGCGTGTGCGCTTCAATGATAGAAATTGAATAACTACCTGACCATGAACCAGGGATGATCAAATATAATTCATCATGGATAATTTATTGAAACAACTATTTGACTTGCAGCTTTATAGAATCATTTAATAGAAATTACCTGACCATGAACCGTGTTGATCCAGGATCTCCTTGCCTTCCTGCTCTACCATGAAGCTTTGTAAAAGGAAAAAGAAGTATCAATGGTGGTTATCTGTATCGATGCAGTCTATCCAGTTTCTATATCATCATAAATCAAATCTAGAAGGCATATGCCAACTTAGAAAAGCTAATCCCTTGGTTTTTTGTTAAATATGGATAGATAACTGAAAAAATAAAGCTTGTGCAGTTTAAAAGAGACTGTAACAAAAAAATATATGCATAATTGTTTTGAATCAAAATTTAGTTTTGTCCAAATCCTGTTATGTTGTCACCAAGTAAAACAGAAATCTAATCATCAAACCCGAACAAGCTCGTACCATTCCTATATCTGAATCACCTAGATAGCAGCATGTAATTGCCAACAACTCATTTGACATCAGCAACAACAACAACAAAAAAGAAGCGGACCACAAATTCTCGGGCAAGCAACAAGTTAGAGGGGAAGGTCGAGGAAATGAGCCAAGCAGCTGAGACGGGCCATRATGGCTTTAGACATTTCAAAAGAGATGACCTCAGTTAGAAGTACGGGAGACGCAGGATTAAGGTTGTAGATTTGGTTCTAGGGACTTGTGGCTTATGGGGACAAGGGTGGGTGGGGGAGAGCTAGAGGTTGGGTTTGTTAGCTAGAGAGTGGGAGGAAGGTTAGAGTGTCCTCGGCTAGATAGCATAGTACCAAGGTGGACAGCTAGGTATCAAAGCCCTAGGTTGGAAAAGGGG